TCGGAGGAGGAACCGAAGGAGTTTGTTGTTTACTTCCCCGACTTCTTCCAGAATAGTGTGGTTCAATTATTGAAGTATTTGGACGGGAAGAGAAAGAAGTATGCCGTGTTGAAGGAGGCAGGATTCTATGTGTAGTTGATGAGGAACAAGACGAAGCTCAAGAGAGCAGTAGCCGTAAAGAGGGAGTGGGATTCTGCGACTGAATTGGCACGGGAGCGAGCGGCAATCTTGGCAACCGAGTGCGCGGCAGTGAAGGCGACATTGCAAGAGCGAGAAGCTCAACTTCGGGAGAAGGAGATTGAGTGTGAAATACTGCATTTGAACCTAGCGAAGGAATCCGGAAGGTGTGCAGAGTTAGAGAAGACCTAAGAAGGACTTCGTATCTCTAATGAGAATGAGCAGAAGATGACATCGGATTTGCTCACAAGGTTGGAGAAATCCAGAGAAACGTATGATGAGGCAGTCAAACGATCGGAGCGATTGATCACAACTATGGAGAGGCGAGAGAAGAAACATGTTGAAGAACTTGCCCAGTTGGAGGCCCGAAGAGCCGAAGAAGTTCGTATCGCCGAAGAACTTCGGAGCAAAATTGCAGAGGCAAAGACGGCGGAGGAAGATCTTTGTAGCAAGATTTCGGAGATTGAGGGTAAGTACGAGGCGGAATTCCGACGTGCGGAGGAGCTATTAGCAAGTTTGACGGAGGGAGTCCGGAAGCATGAGGAGGAGTTAGCGAATTGGGCTAAGAAATTGTCGGATTGTGAATCGGCTAGGACTTCAGAGATCGAATGTAAATTGAAGGTCGAATCGGAATGTCGACGGTTGAGAGAGCAGTTAGGCAAGGCGGACATGAGATCGCAGGAGTCACAAAGGAGAATGGAGAAGACAGAGCATGCCTACCGTCAGCTCTAGAACGAGTCAACCGACGAGTTGAAGTTGCGTTTGGAGAAGTGTCTAAACGGATTCGCGATGTGGGGATTGCAAACGATGAAGTGGTTGAAGTTAGATTCTCTCAAGCGGCGATTGATGAGCGCCAAGACCAGCGGATCCGCAGGACACAAACAGATTGTAGAGTTAGTTAACACATTTTCAGAGGGATTGAATGAGGCGCGCCAGAATGTAGAGCTAGAGATTGTAAATGTGTTGTTGCGTAGACTAGGAGTATATGTAAGTTCAGATGACACCGTAACCGCTACATCAGATGACACAGCCCTTGAGACCAATTCGCCTCAGGCGGTTGATATTCCAGAGTTGCCATTGTGAATAAAAAGGCCCAAGGCTCTTTCCTTGGGGGTCTTTTCTGTCATTTGGCTTGTCTTGACTGTAACCTACGTCCACTGTGTGTCTATGTGTTGGTGTGTGATCCATGCATTGAGCACAATGCACTCCTGTTTGTCGAAGTTACCGCATCAGGAGTTGTGTGTATTCGGCTTGAATGTTCTGAGTAGTCGAGTGCTCCTTGGGATTTGAGCAAGTTCAAGTCTGAGTATTCGGGTCAGTGTGTCGGGATGTATGCAATGCTGGAAAGTGTTCCCCCTGAAATATGAGTGTGGGGTCGCAAGCAATTCCTACAGGTGATGATTGGAAAAGTTTCAGGCTATGAGTGTGGTTATGCACTACTCTGCGGGTCTTCGGCTCTAGCTGGGTAATGTCTTCTGGGAGTGGCATTGGCCTAAGAAGTAAAACTCCTTAATAGAATGCTATCCTATGACAAATCGTGACTTTTGTGGTTGTTTCTGTCTTCGTGGGATCGGATCTGTACCATTATGCTCCATTTTGGTATTTGTCTGTTATTACAATGTGCCTAATTTGCTACATTGCTTTGACAATTCCTGCGAGGTGCTGTTAATTGCAAAGTGTGTGAAATCGTCACACTTTCCAACAGTTTGATACCACGTGAAAGACCATTCAATAAAGTAAATAATATTCAATACGGATTCAAAATTGCAAAATATTTTTCCTGCGGCAAGAAAATGAAAACTATCCAGTATCATTTTTTAATCTTCAATCGAAAAGAGAACCAAGAAGTTGCTAGCATGAAACAAAAGCACTCTAAAAATATTCAACTATTTCATATTCTGTTTTGATTCAAATTATACGAAAAGCATCTTGACAAAACACGAAAAAAATTGTATAGCATATTAAAATTTCTTCTTAAGTAAGAGAAGAAAATTTTTGAGGAGAAATCAGAAAATGAATACATTTATATATGGATGTCAAATTGAAATATGTCACTTTCAAAATCCACAACGTGAAAATAGTTGATGATCTTGTTGGCAATTTATTCTTCAAGCTAGAGCTTGATGAGAACAACGATGATATAATAAATCTCAAAGATAATGCTATGAAGCTGTTCAAATTAGAGTTCAAAAAAGACATTGGGATATATATCATCACCATAAAAAATTATTGTGGTTATCTATTCATCACACAAAAGCAAATTTGTTGTTTAGGTAGAGTCTTATTTTCAATATTCAACATTGCAATCATATCAATAAACTAGTCAAAATAAGCAATCATAATGTTGTTAATTTTTTTAAGATCATGATTGCCGTTAAATTATAACTCATTTTGATGATATTGTGCAAGTCATCCGTGTGGATACTATAACATTAGAGTTTAGAGAAAAGTTGACTCGAAGATGCAAACATAAACTCTGAAGATGAAAGATCCTAACAATGTTTCTACTCTCCCTTATATAGCTCTCTCAACAATGACAAGGAGATAAGATCTAATTCCCACCATCCATTTCACTTCTCGTGGTAGGATGACGTGGTGGATAACTCTAACAAGCACACGGATCGCTAATATGGCGATACCAACTAACACAATCAATCTTTACCTAACAAGCACACGGATCGCTGACGTGACGTTGTCTACTCTCTCCCTCTACCTACGAATCTCTGACGTGGCAGCTATGACTAGTGCACGCTACAGTATCTATATCAACATTTAGAGTAACCTCTATTATAGATTTGACTAATTAAAGATTGTTACAGATACTTTCATTGGATTTTGATTGTTCGACACATCAAGAGATACCATTGTTAGATTTGCAAATTTGTGTGTGCGTTGACGGTATGTTAATGAACCTACATGTATTCTTGATGCCATTTTGGAATGATTGTATTGAGATGAACTACGTGGAGTTTATCAACATTTTGTTGAACATGCTTTGTCCAATCTGAATTGACAAAATCATTCATATTTGCTCCAATGGCAAAAACACAATGACAGTTATGAATTGAAGAAGTTGTCACATGGATGATGAAGATGTGTTCACACAAAATTGTACACATTTGATTCCATACTCATAAGCTAAATTTTGTTATCAAGCAACCAAACAACAACGTTGAAGGTGGCAAATTCAATAAGATGGTTCATGCGTTTTTAATGCGAATGCAAGTCAACATGATTAACAACATGGAACTACCCAAATGCCCTAAAGATACGACGTAATGATCATATTCAATAGTCTACTTAAATAGATATATCAGAAAAAAATTCAACATTTTGGAAAAAAATGGCATGTGTGAATGTTGTCCAATAATTGATAAAACATCGGTGTATCCATTAATTTGCTTGTTACAATCATTCAAATCACATTCAAGACATTACAGATTCTCGATATAATCATCTTGCAACAAGGAATTGAACTATAAAATTGATGGTAAAAATATGTGGCAAAATCGTTATTTGCTTGACAAAATACATCTTCCTCAATGATGTTGAAAATTTGTAATCTATGTTGATCAACGACAATTTATGCATTTCGTTTGATCCAATTTGTGTTCATAATGATGGTAAAAATTTATGTAACAGTAACAACATTATAAAAAACTTGATCATTTTGACTTATCAATCATAATTCAAAGATATATGATTCCCGTGAAACGAGTCTCAAACAACAATGGATAACAATTTCAAAAACAACATTATCAAAAAAATTGTTCATTTTGACTTATAAATCATAATTCAAGGAGACATGATTCACGTGGAACGAGTCTCAAACAACAATGAATAACGATACCAAAAATAATATTATCAAAAAACTTGGTAATTTTGACTTATCAATCATAATTCAAGTATACATGATTCACGTGGAACAAGTCTCAAACAACAATGAATAACGATACCAAAAATCACATTATCAAAAAAAAATGATCATTTTGACTTATCAATCATATCCCAAGTGTACATGATTCACGAGGAAAGACTCTTAATCAACAATTTATGATAATTCCAAGAACAACAATTTTAAAAAAATTGATCATTTTGGCATATCAATCATAGTCCAAGCGTACATGATTCACGAGGAAAGACTCTTAATCAACAATTTATGATAATTCCAAGAACAACAATTTTAAAAAAATTGATCATTTTGGCATATCAATCATAGTCCAAGCGTACATGATTCAAGTGGAACAAGTTTCAAACAACAATGGATGACAATATTATTAAGAAAATGTATCATTTTTCTTTTTCAAGTGTAACAAAGATTTTTATAAATCACGCTGAAAACATCTCAAATAATAATATTTGTGAACTTATAGCATTATCACAATCAAATTCATGAGAGAGTTATTGGATCAATTTCTAAAGCATGTCAGGAAACACAGATAATATAGATCAAATAAAAACAAAATACAAGAAATAGTTGAAAGTGTCCACAAACCAACTTGCCCTCAAAACTCTCTTCAAAATCGTGACTAAAAGATATTTTTCAATAAAGATTGAACTTAAGTCAAATCAATCAAGGAAAACAATTCCATCCAATTTGTAATGTTGACAAATTTCGGTGGAATTAAATACTGCTGAGAGGTACTATCTCCGAAAGGATTTGGCACATGTACTCACAAGAATATAACGTTTTAAAATCATTATGTTGATGATTTCAATACAAATGCCAACGTTCAAAAATGCTTGATCTCGCAATGAACAAAAGATTTGGCAAAAATTACAAATGTTATTTTTGATGAGGTATTTCTCCAATATATGTAATGGGGATGAAATCCATATCATGAGTTTCATCCCCAGCCGTTGAACCCAAGCTTATATTTGCACTAGCCCACATGAATTGCTGTATGTATGACCGTGACTAGAACGCGGGCTATATTTACATGTCTTCGTAAGGTATACTAACTGCCATTGTTGAGACTATAATTGACCCTAAAAACCAAAATTAAGTAATAGTCATACAGACCACTGGACCACAAGATTAGCATTGCGCAAATTGCTCATGAGATATTTGTTGTCGAGAATTGGCAAATGTCATTGACCTTCCATTAAAAAAGAGATATTACAGAGCAATATGCGCCAATTCGTTTCAGTCTAATCCATTCCAACTTTTAATAATGCAAGAGCATCCATTTCTTGTTTCATCTCCAGCGCGTCAATGAAATTGTCGATTCCTTCCCCTTGAAGGATGTGCTCTATAGAATGTTGTGTGATCCCCACACGATGATCAGTAACTCGCCCTTGAGGGAAATTGTAAGTTCGAATCCGTTCGGAACGATCTCCAGAACCGATCTGTCAGAAAAACATCCGACTTCGAGTCAATACTACTTATGCTCCACATCATGCAATGCTTGGAGTATCCAAAGGAGAACATGGGGAACTTCACCTCAAAGCAGAACAGGACGTAAGACAACATAAATCATCAAAATCTCAAACCAATTTGACAATATCTCTGTTCTGGAAGCAACAACGCGCATTCCGATGCATCATCAAAAGAAAATGGACTCGAGTCGTTGACAAAGAGTCTCCAGCAGTTTCACTTGCAAAATCTAGGTTTAGCTATTAGTCCTTGATATTCTATCGGGTTTATTACAGGAGCCACTCAAAAAAAAGTAAATGAAAGCATCAACATTTGGTGATCAGGTGCAGAAATGAAAGAACAGCATGCACATGGATTGTACTGGTAGGCAGAGATGAGAGGGTAAAGTTGGAATAAAGTAGAAGGAAACCTCCAAGTGATATATGAGGTGAACAGATTAAAGGAATAGCATATGATGCATCGCATTTGTAGAAAGAAGCGGTGAAATTAAAGTGGGATTAAACAAGAAACCATATTTAGGATAGAGCATCTGGTTACTGGAGAACTCCAGTAACTAAATGAGAGTGTAAGTTGTAAACAGCAGACGTGCGTACCTTCACGTTTTATGAACTTTTGCAAGAAAGACTCTGCTCACCTTAAAACGTATAAAAATCACCCAAATAGGGAACGAACATAATATGGAGAGAGGTTAGTGGATAAATGATCATATCTGCTAACAAACCTACTCGATAACGACCTAAATGTGCATAGTTGAATGAAGGAAGGGGAGGAGCAACTATAGTACTTTCATTTATGGTGCTGTGCAATTCAACGTAAGTTTTCGACAATGGGTCTCTGCGCCCGGGTTCTATCAACTTCATAAGAATTCCAAGCCAGAGACCAGTTGCTCTGGCTAGTATGAAGTTAATCATGAAAACAGATAGCAACGGCAATGTGCATTTTCAGACTCAATTATTCCACTAATTGCACTATTATATGGTTCTCGGGTTGAAATTTGAACTCAACAACAACGAACCGAAACCCACAACAATTATGGATGGTGATTCCCCGGCCCCAAAGACAACCCTGAAGTCAATAGAAGCAACCTTGCTGCTTAAGAATTAGCTTAACTCATTGCAGATAGTGAAGATGGTCATCTCTACTTTGACTTGTAAGGCAAGTCAACAAACCTTAGCAGGCATTTGGAGGTGCTAGAATTTCAATGGAACACGATATGTAATGCAGATTACGATGAATAATCTTAAAAGCAAGTTCCAGATGTTGAATGATTCTTTTTTTACAACCTCAGAAATTAAAGAATAATAATTGTGCAATCGTTTATAATTTTAATTTTGTGAATAATTTTGAGATATGGTATTCTCTATAAGTATAAACTTAGTTTGCTACTTCTCATAACGTACATGAGGCTAAGAGTGAGGTTTTAATAGTGATAGCAAGTGGAAGAATGTTTTCAGGTCCCACTGTAATTGAGTCATCATCTAAAAGCGATTCACACTAACACTCATTTTCAAGACTTTGTAATTAATGTTCTACTGCTAGATACAGACAGAAACTGACTCCCAGATTAACGATTGCACAGAAAGTTTCTTCAATATATATGGTGTGAATCACCTATAGATGATGTCTCAATCATAATAGTTACAGAAAAAACTCTTCCACTTGCTATCACTAGTTACCACTCACACTAACCTTCAGCAGGTATGCCATGAGAATAATAAATTTAAAATCACTTATTGAAAATAATCTCTAACTCTTAAAAATGAGACCTACTCAAATTTCTGCTAGAGAATAAATTTATCCCCACTTCTGCTACACGACCACGGTAGCCATTATAAATTTTAGAGAGTCTACTTCTTATTTTTGAGCTTGTATTAGCTCTAGCTCAATAACATCATGTATCTTCTGCAGGATAAAAAATCATTCCTTAAAACTTTGCAAAAGAAAATATGATAACAACTCTTATCTATCTAGAACAGTCATTCCGTGGTTTGTTCTTCTTGCGTTGAAAAAGAGACCACAAGATAAACGGTTGTCCCAAGAAGAACCATAACGATACCAACTTCCAAGAAACAATTCTAAAATTATCTTTGCTCGATTCATCACAGCGAACCCTTTTCCCGAAGACTTGGTGTACATTGATATTGCTTGTTCAAATAAAATGTATCATAAAGAGTTAGTGTTACATACTTAAAGAACCCAAAAATGATGGACAAGGGATAAAAGAATGCAAATGGAGCAGGTAGCTTAACTTCTTGTAATAAGCAGTATATAAAATAAACTGATGCCAAGGTATAGATGTCATTTCATAAGTGCTCAATGCTGCTAGATTTACAACTCCACTATAAACAGGTCATATATGCGATCACAGGAAGTTGAAGATTCTCTTGAATAAGGGAAAAGTTCAATTTGGTATGAAGGTAACACTACCTACTAGTCATTGAGAGGCTTGTACCTGCCTCTATAGGATGAAGGAACGGGACACAATCTATTACCTATAATATGGATGTGACATCTATCTCTAGTGACATGTCTCATATTTGTAGAGCATCAACTATTTGTAGTGTGAAATCTGAACTTTGGCATCAAAGACTTGCACATCTGTACTAAAAAAATCTACAACTAATGCTAGAGAAAAATGATGACATATATTTCCAGATAAACTTCAGCAAGTTTCAGAAGATTTGTGACTACTGCATTGTACAAAGATGCATAGAACGCTTTCCGAAAGCAAGTACATCTAGAGCACTTGATGAACTGGGTTAGGTGCACTCAAATATGGTTATACCTCTGTAGATAGCTCCTAGGAGAAATGTTGAAAGCTTTGAATCTACTTTTCCGAGCAAAATCTATAAACGTTTCAGTGAGTTCACAACAACAAAGGTTGTGAAGAGAATTACACATATACTTTCAGATTACATAATGGATGAGAGTACACTTCTACTCCGATCAAGCGAATCTGTCTTCAACAGGGCAGCCGGAAAAATGCACAGTGCATACTCACAGTTTGCATATGGAAAATGATTTTGTCCAGATGAATTAATAATGACTGTTGAACAAGCCAGAGCCATATTAACATATCAAAGGCTCGTGCAATAGTTGTGTATGTCATGAACATGACATGCACGTTAGTGACAAATAAGACACCTGAGAAGGCATCGGATTTAAGGTCTCGTATAATTTTCGAAATCACACTTTTGAAAGCACATCATACGTGCACATACCTAAAGAGAAGAGTAAGAAGCTTGATGCTAAAGTTGAGAAATAGATCTTTATTGCGTATGATGAGATCATACAAGGGTGCAAGATGTACAATCTTTTGACAGCATTATACAAGAAAGGGTTCAAAAGCGAGGATGTGATTTTACTTAGAAAATTGTATGATAGTAAAAGAAACATAGTCTATCCTACTTGGGTCAGAGCTATGGAGGAAGATATAAGATCTTTTGGTAAAAAATAAACATGGACTTTGTGTCCATAACGTACTGACAAGAAAGCCATCATATGCAACTCTGTTAACGAAAACAATTTCGGATACGGTGGATAGTGTAGCAGAAAATGTCCAAACTAGTAACCGAGGGATTTCAACAAGAAGCAAGGAGTGGACTGCAATAATTTGTTTGGATGTGTGGACAAATGAACACTATCCGCGTATTATTTGCATTCTGTACCAATCAGAAATAACTGACACATGCAATGGAAGTAAAGACAACATTCCTTATCGGATGTTTGATGAAGAGGTACATGCAAGCTCAAGGCTTTGTGGTGTAGAGTCAAGAGAGTTGCGTGCAATCAGCAAAATCAGCAAGCTTCTGATGATTCCAACTAAGATGATCATACAGTCACCAAAAGATTTAATTCTTACATATGTTTCTGTTTCAAGCTTGCTGCTTTGGTGTTGTGATCGGGTGGAGAGGCAACAAGCAGAGTACTCTGGCTTTGCCCTCAACAGAGACAGACTACAAAGCTATATAGATAGCAATAAGTGGAGTTGTTTGTCTAAGAAAGCTTACGTCTGATCTTGATGAATACAATAAAACTTATAGACTAATTTGATATGGTAAGCGCATTGCACTACATCCTGTAGTCCATACTAGGACACAGCATGTAGAAGTGCTCTTTCATTTCATTAAAAAGAAGGTCAAGTTCAAGAAGTGCACGTGAAGTATGTTGACCTATAAGACCAATCTTCACTCAGTAAGATCAAAATTCAGAAAATAGAGACTCTTCAAGAGTCAAATCATGCTTGTATTTCTGTCCCGTAAGCAGTAAAGGAAGATGTTGAACTCTCTCCTTGTATCATTTTCTCATGGATAAAGAAATTAGTTGAGATCCCTTCTAAAATTGAGTTACAACGCCCTTACAATTGCTCTGACCTTTTTATGATCTCTGTGCCTCAGGTGTTAACAGTCTTGGTGGATGAAAGTTCTATCATGTCCCTGAAACAAGAGAGTGAACCTTGCCAATGATCATTCTCTCCTGTAATGATCACAATATGATTGACTGAGATGTTTAAGTGGTGACGGCGATCTATCTGGACTCTAATCTAAGCTTGGTTCGAGATGGAAAGTGTTACATTGAGACCTCTAAACTCTGAAGCATTGCTCAAAATCTAACGGAGTATTAAATTGAGAGTGAGCAAGCTATGGCAACTGCAAAAGTGTTCTTACTTGTTATGGTGGGACAGGAAAAATTTGCAAATAATCTATCTAATTCACAACTCTATTCTGTATATTTCAATAACATAAAGGACAAATGATGTCCTCAAGAGAACAGCAAGATTTTCTGAATGGATGGTAGAAAAGAAAAGTCACTTTGTACCTGTTCTTGTCGTAGATTTGAACGCATGGATTGTTGACGCAGTCTCTCTTTCTCATATATCTTTGCTCGCAAAACCTTCAACGCCTTGGCCTTATTCTGTTAAAGCGAGAAGAAACGGCAACTTTGATGTAGTGTTTATGCCGAGAATTTCAACAATGACTTGATTGAAATGATCCACAGAGTTCTAAGTTGCAAGAAGAACTTTACAGATTCCAACCTAATTTGGCCTCCTTTCCAATCTTATTTGGAAAATAAAGCAAGCAGTTCAACGATCTTCCATAGATACAAACTCATAGGCGACTACCTTATCCTGTTAAAGGGAGAAGCAACGGCAACTTTGAAGTACTGTTTATGACGTAAACTTCCAAAATAACTTGATTGAAGTGATCCACAAAGTTCTAAGTTGCAAAGAGAACTTGACATATTCCAAATTAATTTGGCCTCCTTTCCAGTCTTAATTGGAAAATAGAGCAAGCAGTTCAAGTACTTTTTATACATAGTTACAAGCTCATAGACGACTGCTAATCTTGTAACAAAAGTATTTACCTACTTGTTATCTCACTGAAGACGTATCACTATACGAGCACGTAGATAATACTAGAATAGATGAGACGAAAAGAAGAAAGTTTCTGAACATAAGACCGCCCCTTTTAAATGATATGTCAAGATGATAACAAAATAAATTGGAGAAGTAAATTCAAATTCCAACGGGAATATGAGCGGACTAACGACAATTATTAACATCAGCACCTTCAGACGAAGTTGGAGGCATGGAAGTAGAACTAGAGAGAGACTTATCTTTCAAACACTCCACGGGAGGTAACAGTTTACAAACAGTCACTCAAAGACAGATAGCTGACCCAGAAGAACTTCTAACCTGATGCTGAGACCGTTCATCTTGGATGGCAACTACTGTGCCCGTGGGAATATGAGTAATCCGGACCGCACTATTTGTTGTGTTGGTGTGTTGACCTCCAGCACCTCCAGCTCGATATGTATCAATGCGTAGATCCTCAGGTCGTAATTGAACGTCTAACTGTAATATAGTTTTCATAAACCACAATGAGAATAACAAGAGCTGAAGTGACGCCAAATGTTTTCCAAATGCACTAAATTTGGAGAAGGCTAAAATACACTTTAAATTTGACGTTGTATAGTTTAGATCAAAGAATATGAAAGAAAAGGTTCTCAGAAATACCTCGTCAGCTTGAGGAAGAACTGCTACTGACGCGGCACTGGTATGAACACGCCCTTGTTTCTCCGTGACGGGAACACGCTATTTTTTCCATACAAAAGGTTACAAGAGTATATCATGATCTTTCACTCACAGCAAAATGATCACGCCAAGCACTAATCTCTCACAAACTTTGACACTGCAAAATGGATAGATTTCATCGTGGGCAGTCGGAAGACATTAGAAACCTGGACACGGTGCACTCCACTCTCAAACTTGAGCTTGCCATAAACTCCATCCCCGGTTATCGATGCACTTGCTTCCTGTCGAGTATGATCAAAATTTAATCTGAAAATCGGTTTGCCTGAAGGTGAAATGTGTACTCAACGAGATAAATTCTGGTCCAGAAGAAACCGAAGCAGAAGGGAAAGATAAACATTTCCCGAAGAAACAAATAGAATGGAATTCTTCTCGACCTTTGAGGAGATTTCTCATTATTCCCCATTGTAGTTGGACTTTACCTTATAGCCTCTGAGATCTGTCTCTGTCACATCTAGAACTTCAAAGCGCCATGACTGTTTTTGAGCAAATCGTTCATACCTGAAACAAAAGAACAGAACTTCTCCATTAAGTACGCTACACGTAGAACTTCAAGGTAGGATCCTTGTGACTATCCTATATACCGAACAGAGATAGCACAAGAATCAAATAATTCACAAGTCACTCACCGAAATGTCTAAACTGTAATAGGCAATCAGAGAGCGAAGACTTACATTTTAAATATATCCATAGCAAAAAGTGACGCTTCTTCACCACCCGTACCTGTAACAATATCCACCAGTCTACGAGCCTCATTGACTAGAATCAGAATAATGGCCTTTTCAAGAAGCACATTTCAGTACGAAACACTGCTTTAGTAGTATATGTATGCAGATTTTCAGTATTGTATCAATATTTGAGTGTCAGAAACTATGAATCTCCGGCATTTTCCTGCCGCTTGACACGTTCGTAAAATGACCCTTCACCAAGAACAGGTTTGGATGTAACCAAATACTCGGGTAAGATAGGAGCCGACCTGCTCTAACCTCGAGAATACATCCTCGTCGGTCAGCTTCATCTCTGGGTAGCATCATAAAGAGAACTTGATGCTGAAGCTCCAACTCATCACTCGAAGCCAGCCGAAACTCATCAATAGCCAGCTTATGCATCTCCTCGTCCTCAACAGCATCATCTAAAATACTTTTCAAGCCTTTCATCTCCTATTAAATCATCAAATGGTTGCAACAGCTTCAGGAAACTTCATTCGTTAAGGTGGAGTCCAAGAACAAACCAACTTCCCGAAGGATTTCCAAAAAGCAGTAAACCTTCAAGTCCTACTTATTACATTTTTTACAAAACAACGAAATTCGAAAATTCAAGCAGAATTCAATTACCTCACGTTTTGCTCTCAGTGCTGCAATTGTATGGATGCAATCTTCCATCTTGCTAAGCTCCTTATTGATTGTAGCAATCTCATCTGGGCTGGCTGCTGGCTGTCTTCACAAAGGATACACTGAACATTATGACTTTCTAAGGCCAAAAACAGATATACAAAATCGTCTTCCACTAAACCTGAAACACACATAAACTTACACTTTGTGACAGCTAACAATAGATTAGCAATAATATCAATAAATTAACCTCTGGATCTCAATTTAATTGTTGTGAAAGGAACTGCAACTGAGATAGGTAAAGCTGAAATACCTTAGAAAGAGCCTGGGTAAGGTAGGCATGGCGGCCCTCTAATGATATCATCCGCCTCTCCATGACAGCCATAAGATCTTGTGATATTGGAATACGTCTTTCTGAAAATATGAAAATCAGAATTAAAATCTCATTCTGTACCACATTATTGAATTCCAAAATTTCCTTGCACAATGCCCTAAACCCCTAAACCCCTAAGCTGGAAGGCCGACTTTGAATTCTGAGATTCTGAAGCATGAGATTGCACTAGATAAAACATTAAAAAATAGGTCATGAAATTCTATCCTTCTAGTCTGATTTTGAAGCAGTTTCCAACTACATTTATGGGCATTTGTGTGCAACTGCATTTCTGGACAAAAGCTCATGGATTCAAAAAGCTTTCTGAAAGTCATGACTTTGAATATTTTGGTTTATATTTCCACAGATGCAAAATAGATCTTCTCAAGATTCAAAACTCTTCATAAAAAATTACTTCACCTGAACAAAATAAACGCTTCATCCAGCTGCCAAACATTGCCTTAAATTCTGCATCCACATTTGCTCGAATCCTCGCGAAAGGAGGCATCCGCACAAGTCCATCTCTGGAAGCAGACTCAGAAATGGCACATGCACCTCGAAGCAAGTGACTCCACTTCGGCAATAAACGGTGCATAACGAATCTCCAGCTTCAAGTCTCTGATTCTCACAAATAACCACATCCAGCAGAAACAATATCCCAGGATCGTATGGCAAAGATCAGTTCTCCAAAATCACAGATTTTTCTTTTACTGTAACTCAGCCTAAATCACCGTGCTGAAAAGCGGATCGATCGCGGTCGATGGGCAATTCTGCTCTCATGAGTGCAAGCGCGCACCACTTTCACCGTCCCCTGTTTTCATGTAGAACCCTGTTCGTCCCTAGAGTCGCAGGGGCGAGTGTCATGTTCTTCTATCGAGCATTCCATTTTTAGAAGAGCGCTTATCGCTTTGGTTATGTTCGAGTACTACAGGCACCGCGGCTTTCAAACTCCGAGACTCACGTTGCAGTAGACCGTTCTAGATGCAAAGATGTAATCACATTGTTGTCATCATCATCTCCACTTCGTGCTAATGATCAACTACATCAGCTAATGATCATTAAAGGGGACCCCTGGGAAAGAATTGCGATTTGGAACCATCAGATAGGCTGGATTGGGAGAATATCAAGGAATCATAAGCAACATGAGAATTTTTTGTGGTCAATTTCAGATGTGAATTTCATCTGTGAGAAATTTATAGAGCGATACATACAATTTAGCTGATCCAAAATTAGAAAATTGAAGAGGTCTATGCCTCGAATAGTGAATTGCACCACTTAGTTGATTGGAGACCAGATCGTTTTGGTAGAATTGTGTTCATCTAGGTACATTAATCTAGTTTATTTCAATTTAGCCTTTATAAAACAACTCCTTTTCGATATCTCTGGAAAATATATTGATATCTCATATAACAAATCTTTGAAAACGGTAAAAGTAGGTGTGTTTAAAAAAGATTAGATATGACACACCTTTTTTTCTGAAATGAAGAATTAGTATTGATTGCAGAACTTAATGAGATAAATTAGAAATTATACAACCTGATGAATACTTTCACATGTCGCAACTTTCACCCTATGATTTCTTATTCCAATATGTATTGGACATTTATCATATACAAGTGAGGGTCAAGATTCTCATTCGATGGACACATGACATCATGCAATTTTAATTGGGTTTAAGGTTACCGACTTGTCATAACGTAAGAAGTTTGCAAGTGACAGAATTTGCTGACAAGGTCACGAGGAGAAGGAAACTCGGACCGTGATAAATTCCCAAAACCGGGTGATACTTCTAGTATTTCTTCCAATGCAAATCACAAAATTGTCGTTTCTCTATCTCTTTTTTTATCAAATCGTTGGAAGTTTAATTGCAGATTGCATTTCCGGAATATTTTTCTTCTCCTTAAGTACTTCGGCATGGTGACAACTAGACTTTGTGAAAAACATTTACAAGTGCTCTGCACAATGCAAATGGGATGGAGAAAGCTTACGATTCCGCTAATCCCCATAAAGTCCACATAGCCTCTAATAGGCAAGGAACATCCCGAATTCAAATTATCTGAGATAAACAATTGATAAGTTTGTATCCAGAACTTAAATTGATCGGTGATGGGGTGATAATAAGTATGTGGGAAAACCATAGCAAGTGAGAAGTCAAACATTACGGAGATATATTAGAAAAATATCAGAGCATTGTGAGAAACAGACATCAAATAATACTCAACACATATGAAACATAGGACTATATATATTTCTAAGATACATGTTCATAATTAAAATGAAAACCTACAGATTTTGAGCCATTCAATTACCAATGATATGCATTTTCATGACATCAATCCAACTCAGTCATCATAGATATAATAATGCTTTACGATTATATATATAATAAATGGGAATGGCTAGTTATCCCAAGGTTTGGGCTAATTATCCCTCACTCTAATCTAACGTGCACTACTTCCTTTCTGTTTGTGTGAGAAGATTATATCAGGGAGCTCTGGATACATAGGGACAGCTTTGACAGCTCTGTTTAAGTAGTGTGAGGGATAATTATCTCAAACTAAGGGATAACATGCCCCTCCCATAATAAATATGTCTAGATCCAATCATATTACTTCGTTGTTAAAATTGATTATACTAATTTTTCATAAACTTCTAAATGTGTTGCAATCATATATGAAATCAACTTCATTGAGGAGATATATTGCATGGCTTTGGAGTAAAATTCATGAACCAATCTGCATAGGCATGTAGTCAATGTCATAGCATTATTCATTCACATATCAAATCACACACTTGTGTCAAATTGCAAACAATGAAGGATTCTAAGAAGCAAGTGGATGTGATGTAAAAATATGATTAGGTGATAATGGATACTTCTCGATGAGAGCCAAGAACATCACTTGCAACGTTTTGATAATAAAATATCATCTCATTTCATTCCCTTATAATCATTCTTCTTATCAAACATCATATGTTACGCATACACAAACTTACATATGCATGTTATTGTTTGACCAATGGTTAGTCTATTTGTTCTAAATTTTAATTGACCTTTAGGTTGTATGACTTCACTTTCTTTGAAATGATTAATTCTGATAGTACTATATATCATATAAACATGAAAATGTCATTTTTTGAATAATGAAAATGATGTATATGTCTGAAAAATCTAAGATGATCATTACATATTTTCAGTTGCAATCATATGAAAATAAATTCCATTATGAAAATAATAATAATTAATGATATCAACGAAGATACAGTTCGATTAAATTTTTTTGATAGATGGAATTAATATAGAATTCTGTATCATTATGATACAATCAAAAAATTATTCAAGATTTATTGAAAACCATATGAAGAAAGTAGTGTAGATTTAGAACAAGTGAGTTAGAAAACACACCAATCTCATTTCCGAAGAATGATAAATAGCACATAGGGTTCATCTTCCGCCCATAAGCACATTGAATCAGCTATTTAGGTCTCCGTCAGTAAGTACACTAGCCATTTTGGCTGCCGACTTTTAGGTTGGCAGCTGGAATGACACCGAGCAACAGTGGAACCAGTTGATTGAGCTCCAATCAACCGGTAGAGAACTAATTATTCCTCATTACCTCACATGCCAACACAGAATCGAAATGATAGTTTTGATAAAGTATCATTTTGACAAAAGAAGAAAAACGGGAAACTTGAACAGAATACCCTTTCTGAACGTTCTGTCATCTTCTTCCAGGATCGAACAACAAATGTCGATGAGAGACGTCCAAAGAACTATCATCGCCGTCTGATATTATGATCTGTCAGTGCCTTAAAACTAAGATCCGGAAGCAGTCTTTAAAGAAAATGGAATCATGCTTCTAAATCAAGAAATCCAGTTGGAGTAAAAAGTATGTTGCATTTTGATCTCACGTAGACCCGGTAAGAGAAGAGAGGATTCTAATTAATTTTTTTCCAGAATATTATTAGGGAAGGCCGTACATGATCTTAAAATGGTTAAAAATTAATAATCAGGGAGAAACTATTCAAAAGGAGTTCCATCGGAACTTGACCTTATTCGACGGATCACATCCGTCGGAGCGAGTTGGTACAGTATAGTGAAGCTTTACTTTCCACAGGCTCACTTTCTATTTGTGATCGAATGATTCCATGCGCCTACTCTGTCAATGCACACGAGCCAGTGTGCAAATGAGTGGTATGCTTATCCTTGGTCCTTGTCAGAAGTGTATTCGGCGAGTCACTTACGGCGTAACCCGAAACACCCTTAAACCTAAATGCCCATGACGTCAAGTCAGATTGCCGTTCCGCGCCTGCAATTGCCGCAACCTGGCTTCCGGTCGTCTCTCTGCCACTCTAACCAACTCCACACCGAAGAAGTAACTACTCATCGCAACGGCGTACATTCTCTCCCGATCGGCATCCTGCGGCCAGAACGGCCACCCATCGCGTCGTAACCGTCAGATCTGGTACCAGAACGCTGACTGTGCGCCATTGCTGGAATGACCACGTAACAACCGTCCCGTCCGCAGTCGAGAACACCATCGGCGCCCCAGGGCAGATCGAGCCGCACACGGCCTCGATTCCGCCGGGTCGGAGTAGCGGAATATTCCGGAGAACGGCCCCGTCAGCCGCCGATCCGCAGATTGACGGTTGATGTGCGCAGGGGTTAAACCCTGCAGCGAGCGACTGTGAGGTTCCCGGCGCCGGAAAGCGGGGCGCTTTGGTAGCGGGGCTCAGCAATACTTGGCCCTTGCGACGCTCGGAGCAGCGGGCAGAAGAGAAGAGGAAGAGCGGGGCGGAGCCGGGGAGCAGAGCGACGTCCAGAGCGTATCGGAGACGATAGCGGTAGCGGGGCGGGCTGGGCTGAAACCCCAAGAGGAGGAGGAGGAGGAGGGGGAGGAGGCAGATGAGAAGAACCGGAAGCGATGAGAGTGCGGTTTCGTTCTTGACTGAGGCGTGACCCCAGGGAGGAATTCGGTAGGCTGCGGTTCTTGATCGTTCGAAGGAGCGAGCGTAGAGTGCAGACACAGAGTGAAAGAGAGCGAGAAAGAGAGAGGGAGAGGGTTGACAGAGAGAGAGAGAGAGAGTGTGAGAGAAAGAGAGAGAGAGAGAGAGAGGTAGAGGGAGCGTTTTGCTGGGAAAGGAAGGAGGGAGAGACTCGTTTCTTGGTAAGAGGCGGCTCGAGTGAGAGGAGAGGACAGGAGGGAGCAGGGGAGGTGATTGGATGATGATTTGATTGACGGGGAGGACCGAGCGAAGGGTTGGTGGTGGTGGTGGTGGAGGTGGAGGTGGAGGTGGTCGCATTCTGTGGATTGGATCGGGGAACTGGATTGGAAAGGAAGGATTTGAGGAGGGAGGGAGCATTCATATAAATGCAGGGGACGACGCATTCGCTGAGGCAGCGAGGGCAAGCCCGAGTGGTTGCGTGTGTGTGAGCAGATTTTTTGCCAATCCATCCATCCAATCATAGTCACTTGATCAAGACACTTGACAGTCCGCCAATGAAACTTTTCGTAGTAGAGTAGTGTGACTGCTGGGTCGTCTTCTCTCTAGGATACTTACGTATTGTAGTAAGAGTTTGTGGGACTATTACTCCTCCTCTTTGTTGGTTTGGTTCTCTGCTGCTGGCTGCTGCTCGAACTCGTTGCGTTGCGTTGGTTGCTTTGCTGGCTGGCTGGCTGGCTTGCAGGCGGATTCAGTTCAGTCGGTTGCCACACGGTCCGATTGGGGCTCAGTTCAGTGGGAGGAGAGTGGTACTATAAGTGAGGTGGGCCGGGGCGGAGAGCGGGAAGGAGGAGGTGGTGGTTGGTGGTGTTGAAGAGGATTAAAACCAAGGGAGGGTGGTTGTGGTGGTGGATTACTACTAACACATACTATTTCGTGGGGGCGGGGCCGGGTGCATACATCTGTGGTGGGAGGGATTGTGTGGGTGTCATCGTCGGCATTATGTTCTCCAGAGGGTAAGTGAGTGAGCGATAGGGGGCTAACTCTGTTTTTCGTGTCGAGCGGCTTTGTCCTCTCCCCGTCGTATCTAGGGACTCATTAAATTTCAGCTCATTGATGAACATTCACGCAGTCAATCCAAGTTACATGAGTTGCTTTTGACTGGTATCAGCACATTGGATGTCATTTTTTTAAGTAATGAATGAATCGAACAACGTGTGAATGCTTCATCAGTGCATTGCCCGCCTTATCGAGTGAGTTTTATGGAGAATCTGGTTAGGGTTAATGCAAGCATGCATTTCTGAGTACTTTAAGGCTTAAGGCTTTCAAAGAACCAGTATTTCATCTCATTCATTCAGCCGACCCCGCTTTGATCTTCTTTATAGAGTTCCATCTTGAAGATGGAAAGCCACTTCACCGTCACTTTGCTTCACAAAGTTTCTCACGTCCACTCTGTCCGTCATTGCAATTATTTACTGTATTGGTTCTATGGATTTCATGCATCAGGCTAGGCTAAGCAATTTTGGGAATTTGAAGCATGCCATCTCTGCAAAGTTAAGATATTATAGGCTGAAAACCTTCATACACTCTCAGCTAGCTCGAGATCTTCATTTAAAGATCCGTTTGCCGCGATCTGACATGCATGAGTTGTTGCACTACACTGCACATTGCTTGAGTCAGGGAGGTAGTCAAGAGAGAGTAAGGGAGGGCACACATCTGAGAGCTTGATGTGTGAATAGTTGTCTTAGGTAGGGGGTGCACCTATTGACGGGTGGGCTGTGGGCGGGGGGCTGGGATGTATCTTTGAAGGAATCTTTTGGGAAGCGGGGGAGGTGCAGATGGATACGAGGTTGGGGCAAAAAGGCAGCGATTAATCGATGCAGGCCCTTATTTTGGCGGGGGCCCAGCGCTCTCGCAAGCCAGCTTGGCTTATGGAAGTCCGAATATCGCGCAAGTGCTTGGACAACCACGTCCGTTTCCGGTGGTGCGGTTGCGGGGACTCCCTTTCAACTGCAGTGAGAGTGACGTCTTCGAATTCTTTGCAGGACTCGATGTGGTAGACGTCCTTCTGGTGCGGAAGCAAGGGCGTTTCTCAGGGGAGGCGTTTGTGGTTTTCGGTGCACCGATGCAAGTGGATTTTGCTCTGCAAAGAAATCGCCAGAACATGGGACGGAGGTACATTGAGGTCTTCCGTTGCAAGAAGCACGATTATTACCAGGCCGTTGCAGCAGACGTTGCAGAACCCAAAGATGATGGTGGACACATTTCTACGCCCCCGGGCAAAGTCTCGTCGGAGAAAGATCATCTTGAACATACTGGTGTGTTGAAGCTCAGGGGCTTGCCATTTTCAGCATCCAAACGGGATATCATTGACTTCTTCAGAGAGTATGGGCTGACAGATGAGAATGTGCACATTGTGTCACATGCGGACGGACGAGCTACTGGAGAAGCATTCGTGGAGTTTGCGTCGCCCTCGGAGTCTAAGGCTGCGATGAGCAAGGATAAAATGACCCTTGGCAGCAGATATGTCGAGCTCTTCCCCTCTTCTCGTGAGGAAGCTACCCGAGCGGCATCCAAAACGAGATAATTTTGCTGATCAGTTTTCTTCATCATAAACATCCGCGGAGGGAGGGCAGGGCAGATTACAAAATCTTAGACACAGAGCCAGCTTAGATGATACAACCCACCACACACAAAAGTGGTCCACAGAATTCAAAGTTACTGATGTGGAATCTTTTGACTACAACACATGATCGGAAAATGAAATGAGGTAAGTCCCTTTACATGTTGACCTATACGATGAGTAAGAATTTCACCTCTCATGGGTGATGAGGTCTTTTTCCAGGACAACTGATTGCGGAGAATTTTCAGGACCTCGCGTTGTACAGTTCTCTGGCTTTCAATCAAATTCTTGACTCAAAAGGGATTGAACAAAATTACCGAGTTGTTGTGTTTTGTTTGCACATTGTTAGTGTGTAACTGGTACACAAGTATGCCCAATCTCGTCTCCAATTTTTGCATTAATGGATGCTTCTTCGGGCTGGGAATTTGAGAGATTTGTGTGGATTGATCACAACTTAACTATCACTATCTGTAACCCCTTGTCTCTGAAGTTTACAAGCCGAACCATAGACGGGTGCCTTCAGATATCTTATAAGTTTACAGTTTTAAGTAGGGTTTGGAGGAGTGGTATCTCTCGCCAACGTAGTTGAGGTATATTTTAGTTCTGTGTTGGCTGCATTGAATAATTGTGGTTGTAGGCGCTCTCCTGTATGGACTGTATGTCAGCCTAGCTTTACATGGTGGTGACATTGTCACGCAGCTACAGGAACTTGACTCACCACCAGCTGCTTTTGAATTTGCCATTTGTTGTATTCCGAGTGCAATTGTAGGCCTAGATTGTGTTGGATCTGGCTTCATGGGTGTAATGTGTAAATCGTGTGTAAGTTTTGTTAGACCCTTACCCGTTTACACCACGCTTTTTTAAATATGATATGCCCTTTGTGGCTAGCGATAATTTGAACCTGTAACTGGGTAGTCGCAGTAACATTTGCAAAAGCCGTTCCGTTCCTTGATATGTCGATAGGTGAGTAGAAATGATTCTACGTTGTTGGGATGAAGTCACGGATACTGAAGTGAGAAATTGCGGACGAGCTTCGGAATGTGTGCATTTGACAGTTGAGATTCAAAGATCTAACAGGACTCTTATAAGGTTCTGTTCTCTTAACAATTCTTCAATTTCCAATTCCATGTTTAAATTTTTGTGTGATGGAAGTATCTGGATAAAGTCCGTAAAAATTCTTATTATCTAGACACATTCTACCTTCATGACTCAAACCTAGATTGAAGAGCACGGCATACTGAAGAAAGCCACCTTATATTCTCAATGATCGAGGATCAATCAGACAAATGTGGCCGGTGGGAAAGTCCGTCGAGTCTTTGGATGTTGGACTTACTCTTACCACTCCAGAGAATGGGGAAGTGGATGGTCGCCTATGGTCGCCGGTTTGAACTGACAATGTCACCCGAAAGGTACTTGTAAGGCAGTTACCAATGAGATGTGAGGTAGATGCGTGCCTTGTAATTGGTATAGACTAACGCAGGGTTGACGTGGCAATCTATACCCAGTTTCACAATACTGGAAGATCCGATGTGTAGAAAATCTTACAATTACAAATCTTACAAATCTTGCGAGAAGGAGGCCTATCTGCAAAAGGTATTGGTTTTGCAAAAGTCGCCATTGCGACATGAAGTGCGTATAGCGGAGCGTGGATGCGTGAACACATCTTTTGCTTTTTTGTTATGTATATATGTATGAGCACTAAGGAGTAGAACTGCTCAGACAGGGACTATACGGCGATACGGTTCGTAGTAGTAGTAGCAAAGAGTCAGAAAGTAAGTGCTGGTATGGTTCATTTGGGGTGTGTTGAAAAGTCGACTTCTATGTTGAAGGCATGTTTTATTTGACAACCAGGTTTTGTACGAAATTGTCTTTCGATTGCACTCACGTCAACTTTATTCGTTGGACTGTCATTCTGTAGCGTCAATGTCTTTACAGTAGCTGATATTATGTGTTGTTTATTCTTGCTGTTGTTCGACATTTGAGCTGTTCACTACACGGAACCGCTCTCAGACTTTTAGTGCATCTATAGGAGTACGTTTGCCAATCCGAAGTTGATCAGTCCGAAGTGGACTCTTGTTTCTGGGTTGTAAGGAAAGGATAAAATCGATTTAATTGTACGATTAGTTTTGTCAATGGGCTGAAGCCCTGCAATCGTCATCACGATTCCATGCCCATGATGCCCACGAGGTAAAGGTGAAAAGAACCCTGTCGTTCAAGATTTGATGCCCCAGTGCATCACATAGATGTCTCATAGCTCTCCGTTAAACGAAACAAGAAGATATTTTGCAACTCTGAATGGAAATATCTTATGTGGAAAATGGAGAAGGTGTATGTACTTGATAGACCGAATCATGAAAGCTTTTGCCTCACACACCTTCCTCAGAATTTCATAACAATTCATCACACTCTGAAAGTAAAGTCTTCGGTGTGAAAATTGCAGCTGAAATTGGATGCGTAGAGTAACCAAAGTTAATCTCCTAATCACTGTACAAAATACCACGAGCTTCCATTACAACACAACTTTGCAATCTGTCATATTGAAACAGGATGCAATTTTGTACATCGTCTTCCACCAACCCGAACCATGGTTTGGACTTCTGAGACTTAAATGGTCATCTTCAGTTTAGGGTCTAAGGCTTTGGCTTCTTGCGCACATTCTCTCCCGTACATGCTAACACAATTGACTGACTTGCTGCATGTTAAGATTCGTGGTGGTTGCGAAGCTCATGTATTGTCGTGCGCACCCATCACCCACGATAACACATATCCTCTAGACCAAGCATTTTTCCACCAGATCGGATGGTCATGAACATGGATTTTGAGAATGCAATTAATAGCTACAATCCTGTTGAAGTAAGCTAGTGCAACTTTATCACAACTCACTTCTTTTGTAAGATGCTTTTGAGGCTTACATTTCTTTCTTTATTGGCATGGTTTTTTACAAAGATCTCTTACTGAAAAAAATTTAGTTTTTGATATTCAACATCAAGATAATCAAAGAACTTTGTTTGTCATGTTATATTGTAAAACTTTCGTGACTATTAACTTGCCAAGTTCACTTTATGTTTCATTCTTCAGAAGAGAATTGGTTACTTGTAAAAATTTGTAGAAATGCTTTTGAATGCTTCAATATTGAGTATTATCTTGTAGACTTAAAAGTCAAGTTGTCAAAGAGCGGATTTTGGTCTTATTGATGTATAATTTCTTATTTTGGATCTTGGAGAGTGCTATATGATATACATATATATATATGCAGTTTTTGTATATTTAATCGTGTTTAAGTGCAATTTGAATCTAAATTTTTTATTTCAAGTTGTCATGCAAATACTATTTTGATAAAATGATGACACAATGTAATCATTCATAGTTAGCTATAACTGAGAATTATTCAAGGTGTATAGATAATATCAAGTTGATGTATGATATATTGATTATAGTTTTAACATTAGAATTTTCAAATTTTTTTTTTTTGTTGGTCTTGTGATTGAGAGCAATATATCAATAATCCACATAATTATTACTCTAATAAATTTTATTTGGATGTTTGATAATAATGGTTTCTTTTTGGACTTTTGGGTTGATTTGTTGTAAAATGGGGAGATCACAAAAAAGTTAACGTGGTTTGTGATAATAAACTGAACTTTATTATCATTGTTCAAAGGGCAAGCTAGGTCTCCTCCCTTTAGTATTTACATTCGAAACCTTAACTAACAACCGATCAAACCCTAACTCACAATGGGAGTGAGTCTAAGAGTGTTTTTCTTAATTCATTTCAAGACATAATATATTCCATAACTTATAGAGTTATTTATAGAAAGTTTAAAAAAAATTCTACCAAATATTATTACTTAAATTAAAATAAAGTGTTTTTCATAACTCATTTCAAAACACACTGTATTCTATAACTTATAGAATTATTTTACAGAAAGTCTTAAATTTTTTTTAACAAATATTACCACTTCAATTATAAATAACAAGTACTTAACTGTAGACAAAACATGATAGAATGACATAACATGACATAACATATAAAGAAATAACTAGAATTCATAGTTTACTCTGAATTCCTTGTACTCCTCATGTGAAAGCTGCATAGTAGCACAATGTATCCAACATATTTCCAAAACAATAATTTTGGTTAACTTACTATATGGATTGAATTATCGTCAATCTTGAATAGTTCAATATTTTTATTGGAAATTGCATTTCCATAAAGTGATAACTGACGGTAATGTGTTTCACTATGTTTTCAATCAATTGATTTGTAGATGTAACGCATTTTGACTATCACAGTCTAGATTGACAACCTCATGTTTTAATCACATTTCAATAATAAATTTATTCAACTAAATAACTTACTTTCATGCTTTTACTATTGCTACATATTTAGTTTTTTTTTGGATTGAATCATGCACTTCTGCAAGATAGTTACCAGTACTATGTTCATTAATTTTTTCACCAACTAATGCATACACAACCAAGTGTAAACATATATCAAGTTATAGATTTATTCTTGTTTGAATCTTGTTCATAATTAGCATCATACTTGCTTAGCAAAAAATTGAGATGGTCTAAAAAACCATCAAACAATAAATTCATAATCCTTAGTACTCTTCATGTAGATTAGAATTCTAATGTTTCACTTTTCAATCCAATTTTCATTGATTTGATATATAATTGCTCACTTTGTCAATTGTTAGAGAAATATAAATCCTTGTGCACATCATCAAATACATTGCTCATAGCTAAAACAATATTAGTCCTTGTGCATACCATCAAATATATGAGGTTGTTCACAGTTTTGTCATATAGAACTGATGATATTTTGTACTTCTAAATGAGATCGGTTGAACATTGAATTGCATAAATTGTCAAAGTGATGACAAAGAAGTAAATACTACTTTAAAGTCTTGCCATGATAAAACTGTAAAGCACATGTTGAACATACTTGATGTTATTCAAGCATATTCTATTCTTCTCCTTATGAATATTCATCTCTAATATGCTTTTGAATTTATCCGGATACTTCATATCAAATGTAGAGTTGAGCTAATTATTGCATTTGTTAATGTCAGATTGAATCTTTGCCAAAATAAGCATATAATCCACAGAGAATAGTACAATAATTAAATTAAAAATCTCAATATTCGTCTTTTTCATGTATAGACAAGTATCATACGCACTATGTGAAATATCTTGTGCTTTCATGAATTCATCAAAATTTTCATTGCATTGTTTAGTAACTTGCTTCAATTTATATAATGATCTCAACAATCCACAAACCAAGTGTTTTGACTTTTTTTCTAAAGCCAAATGGTTTTTTCATGTAAATTTTATACTGTAAAGATCCATAATAATTTATTTAACTATATCCAT